CGTTCCGGGCGGTGCATCTTGGCGTTGGCCGCTCGAGTTCCGTGTCGATTGCCGCCTCGGCCGCGCACTCCGGAGTAAAGGTCGGACTCGTTAGCCGAGGCAGCGGATTCCCTGTGTCAATTATATGCGTCTGTCTGCGACGTGCGTGCTTGTTTGTGTGTGCGTGTGTGCGTGTGCGTGTGCGTGCAGATTGGCGGCATCGGCGTAGCCATTGGCGTACCTACCTGCCCCTCCACTGAATACCGCTACCATGCATACACTTTCCAGCAGACTGATTCCGAAAGTCGTCGTTTTCGTGGCTCTGTCTCTCTCGCACTCATGGGGGCCCCGTACGGGTGCGAGAGAGGCAGAGCGACGAAGACGACTCTCAGAATCAGTCTGCAGTGTGCCCCCGCATGGCCGAATTGCGTCGCGACGCTGTGCCGAGCTGCGATTCCGAAGAGTCGTGTGTCTGTCTCTGTCGCACTCGAGGGGCACCCCGTGTGCGGGCGCGGGCGCGACAGAGACGGAGCGACCGGCGACGCCAACACGGGGACGCCGTGGCGGCACCGCGCTGATAAGGAGGTGACAATTACCAGCCGCTCGCTCTCGCTGTTTGCAGCGGCATGGCCGAGTGTTGTTGTTGTTGGTGGTGTCGACAAGTGGTCACGCTTTGCGACCACTGTGGCGAAGTTGTTGTTGTTGTTGTTGGTCGCGATGTCGACGCGCTGCTCCGCGCTCCAATCCCGCTTCCGGCGCGCGGCTCGATGGCGGCGCTGTAATCCGAGACGCGCGGTGTGGGTTCGCACCGCGCCCCGCCCCGGCCCGCAATCCAGGTGCAAAGTACATGCAAATTCCTGCCTGCCGCGCTGGGGGCTGGGCCCCCCTCGGGCCCCTGCAGCCTCGTGGACGCCGCCCCGCGTTCAAGTCGCCGCCACACTGCAGACTGACTCGTCGCTCTGTCTCTGTCGCACTCGTGGGGCGCCCCGTGTAAGTGCGAGAGAGACAGAGCGACGAAAGCGTCTGCTGGCAGCGCTGCGCCTTCGCCGTCGTGGACGTCGTGGCCGTCCCGGTGGCGGCCGGCCGGCCGACTGATTTAGCACGCCTTGTTGTGCTTCGTGCCGTGGGCTTGCCGCCGCTGCTGCCCCGTCGCGCTGTCGCTGTCTCTCTCGCACTCGTGGGGCGTTGCGGTGCGAGAGAGACGGAGCGACGAATCGGTCCTTCGGAGCGAGGCGGCCGGCCGCGTGAGAAGCCGGCGGCGTGGCCGGTGATGTACTGCGCGTGACGCGGTTGCGTCGTCCTTCCCCCACACTGTATATTCGCAGTGCAGTGGGTGCGTGGGACGGGCACGGCGGCACGCTCTGCCCGGAAACGAGGGCCGCGGCGGCGTTGCCGTGGTGACCGTCGCTCTGTCTCTCTCGCACTCGCGGCCCGTCCCGTCGGGGTGCGAGAGAGGCCGGATGGGCTGCAGTGGAATGGACCGGATTCGGCGCCCGATCCGGCCCGTGGGTTTTTTCGACGGCCGCGTCTGTCTGTGTGTGTGCTCGGCGCCAGTTTAAAGTCCGTCAATGAGAGTGTACGTTTCTAATTACCAGACGGGCCGGTAGCGTCCCGTTTGAAAACTGCCCCCCGCTTGATAATATTTTTTATGAAAGCGGCGAGGCACTGGTGAGGCGTGGCGGGCGGCATGGGCGCATGGCGTGCTTGTGCTTCGTGGAGGGGCTCAGCCGAGCCGGTCCCAAGGATGGTCTCGTCGCCGTCTCTCTCGCGCCACTACGGGACGCTGCGTGGCTGGGACTGCGTCGGAAACGATCCTCCGGGCTGGCTGCCCTGGCTGCCCTGGCTGCGCCGCTGGACCTGGCCGGTCCGTGGCCGTCGGCGTGGCCGTCGGTGCCCCGGGGCACTAGTCTCGGTGGCGCCGGCCAGCCGTCCAGGCCGCGTGAAGGCAGAGGGGGTCCTCGGCACGAATCAAGTCATGAAGATTCCTAGCAAGAAAGTGAGGACGATTATCCACCGGCCGCCTGCATGCTGCCTGCACTGTAAAGTGGCTGGGGTGGGGGTAATCCGGCTCCATGAGCCTCTCATGATGCCGGGCCGGGTTGCCGGGCCCGTCTTCGGGTCGTCGGGGTGACCCCTTCCGGGACGAGTCCCCCAGGATGATCCTGACCCTGACACTGGCGGCCGCGGCCGCGGCGTGCACGTGGCCGTCGTGGCCCCCGGAGCGTGTCCGCTTGGCCGGCGTGCAGGCCGTGCAGGCCGCGCTGCTGCCTGTTCCCCGAAGTGAAACGCCCCGGCCGCGGCGCTCGCGCTCGCATCCCATATGCCCGGCCGCGCGGCCGCGTAGCCGCGAACGGGACGCGCTCACTGGTACAGGTGCTCCGTATGTTGACACACCTGTCGCGCGCCTCGCCGCCTCGCCGCCGTCTCGAGAGTAAAGCAATCGTGTGGCCCCTCTGAGGCGCCGTCGCTCTGTCTCTCTCGCACCGTCGCGGGACGCCCCACGGGCGCGAGAGAGACAGAACCCTATTCGGAATCAGGCTGCTGCCCGGCGGCACCGCGCGCTGCGATGATGGAGAGCTGGCATGAGCGTCTCCGTTCCCACACTCGGATTGGTGGAGCGGACCTCACACGGCGTCTGCCCCCCTCTCCCTCCCTCTCTCTCTGACTGCCGGCGAGATGCGGAATGGATGCAAGGCGAGACGCTAATTTGCCCGTTTCTGTTTGTTGCAGGTGAGCCGCGTGACAGTGCTCATGAGCCCCCGCCCATGGGCCCCACCGGCCCCGCCGAAGAGGACGGGCAGCTAGAGCGGCCAGCGCGCCCAGGGCGGCCAGGGGCGCGGCCCAGGCCCAGGCCCCGCCATGGCCATGGCCACGCAGGCCCAGCTCCAGGTAGCCAGCCGCCGTCATGACTCAGCATGTCCAGCACCCAGCACGGCCAGCACGCGCCCCTTGGACTCACTCTCGTTTTCTGTGCCTTCCTCACGGTTGCAATTATTTTTACACTGTAGAGCCTCTCGGTTATGAACTGTAACACCATGAAGTTTTAGTTAGTTTGTTTTCTTATCTACTTTCGCACTCACCGAGCTCGATCGGCTCTGATTGCATGAGTGCCACTTTCTCAGTTTCTTAGTTGACAGTTGATCAGTTTGTGTGTGCACCTTTTTAACTTTGATCGCATGGTAATTTTCTTGGTTAATTTTTCCTTAGTTTTTTTTTTTTAAAATTTTTGGTGTAGTAGATTTTTGCAGTAGTTTGGTACCTAATGAGTTTGCTAAAAAAAAATTGTAATGTGTGTGTGTGTTGTTTTTTTTTTTTTTCGTGTTTTTTAAATTTTTTGAAAGGTTTAAGACGCATAGCCTAAAACGACTCACACTCGACTGGCCCATTTCTGGCTCTTCACTCTTTTTGGCGTCGACATGCAGCTCATGCCCCGAGACCGTTGTATGCACACGCACTCTGCATCTAGAGAGTGCACACAGACGCGCTATCTGGCGGCCGATTACGAAACGACTCGCTGTTTGGCGCGGCCCCACCTGGGTCGAGGAGGCGAGGCAAACACACGGCGAGCAGACTGCACTAGACTCGAGCAGACTGCACTTGCTGCTCCTACACTCGAACCAATCGTCCAGTGGCGTGCGCTAAAATAGCAGTCGAGTATTTCGCGCCGGAGCGTGTTCCCCTCGGTGTCGCTGGACTCGGCACTCGTGTGAGGCCGCACAGTGGGCCAGAAGACTGGTGGAGGCGGACAAAGTTCCGGACGCGTTTTGAGCTCCAGAGTCGCTAAACAGGGCTCGAACCGAACGCGTGTGACCCCACCAATAGATTGCTCTTCGAACGAGGAATCCATTGGTGGGGTCACACGTTCGCTTCGAGTCCTGCTTGGCGACTCTGGAGCTCAAAACGCGTCTAGAGTTTTGACCGCCTCCACCGGTCTTCTTCTGGCAAATCCACTGTGGGCCGTGGTCAGTGTCGCGGGAAGAAGCGGGCACTGTACTGCTGCTCTGTGTGGACGGTCCGTGTTTGAGGGCCAACATCCGGTGCGGTGTGTGCCTTCCGCTCCCCGGGGGGATAAGCGATTACGCGAATGTGGCCGGTACGTGCGTACGTCCGTGGGTACCGCGAAACAGGCCCCACCCTGTGGTACGCCCTCTGTGTGCTCGGAGGGCATGGGAGGAGCGCGGCTTTTCCTTGTGTGCAGAGGAACGAGACAGAGTATATACTTTAGCCTTTAGCCGAAAGCGCGCGTAAAAAAGGGTAAAACAAAACTTTTTTTTTGGTGTGGCGCGCTTGTCTTCTAGCAGGTTGCGCCAGAAAACGGCTCCAATTACGTCCCCTTTTCCGCGCCGCGGCACTGCCCGGCACCGCCGGCAGCCAGAGCTCCCGAAGGCCCCGTGTAACGCGCGTGAAGGCGCGCCGTGTTCCGAGCCGTGTTCCCACGGGATGATCCGGGACTCCTGTCCTGTCCACCGGGCGGCCCTTTTCCATCCCAAACTATTCCGGTCTATCCCGGCCGACAGGTTGCACCGGGTACGCCACAACGCCACCGCGCCCCGAAAACCGGACACCTCTTGGCCCTTATCTGGGGATACTCTATCGAGCTCCTGGTCCTAGAAGAAGCTAAAAATAAAACAAACCAAATCTAAAAAAAAAATTTGGACAAATTGTTGTTTAGTAGTTGCTGTCGTCTATCAGTTCCAGTGTACTTTATGTGTCAGGGTGGCCAAGACGAAGTAGTAGTAAAATGGAGGAAGTATGATGCACCCTGGGAATGGGGATTCCTTTTTCTGCCTTTTTATTGTGTTTTTTTTTCGTATTTTTCTCACAGTTTCCTTGAGCATGGGATGCATTCTCACAATTAGCCATGTGCACTCGTGTACAGAGTAATCTTTGCATGGTTTTTAATGTCACGGCCACTTAGCGCGTGTGCGATCGTAACTTTAGCCTTTTTCCTTTACTTTATCGCCCTTGCCTTGATGCGTGCTCCCGGCGCCCCCCACTGACGTGTGCCTTCCGTTTTGCAGTATGAGCAACTTCTGCCGGGTGCCAGCATGAGTCAGCGCGAAGATGTGGCCAAGTTCGAACTTTCGCGCATTAAGGCGCTCCAGGAGGAGCGACTCCACATCCAGAAAAAGACCTTCACAAAATGGATGAACTCGTTCCTGCAGAAGGTGAGTCCCGCAATTTATTTTGATTTTTTTACAGGGTCGAAAATAGTTTGTAAGGTTTTAAAAAGTGAATGACAGATTTTTTAAAAATATGGAGATGGAAAGCAAAGGCTGGCGCCTACAAAGCCGCCCGTTGGTCCGGTCCGGTCCGGTCGCCATTCGGCAGCCAATCGGCCACTCGGCCGCGCCATGCCGCGATGCACCGCCGCCCTTTTAAATTTATTACCAAGTTTGGCGGCGCGTGGCGTCCACCGCCCGTTGTTTATGGTGATGCATGATGCATGCCCCGCTTTATCTATCTCATTTCCTCTCGAACGAGGAGGAGAAGTAGAGGAGGCCAGGACCGGACCGGTGCGAAAATAAAAACGAAGAAAGCACGTTGTTGTTGCTGCTGCTTTTGTTGTTGTTGTTGTTGTTGTTGCTGTTGGCTGATTGATGGGTCGGCCGAATGAATGGCGCGAGTCCTGCAGGACCTCGCCGGCGTGTGATGCTGCAGTTTCCTTTCTGGCTCCGCTGATGCCAATCCAGAGTCCGGCACTCTGCAAGCACACTGCGCCGCGTTGCGCGCCATTGCAGCGAAAGGGGGAGGGAGCTCACGAGGTGTTCCCTAAATCTTATCTCCATTGAATGGCGCACCCGCCCTCCCGTTTCTTTCCACTTTTTATTTTCTCTCTCTCGTGTTTTTGTTGTTGTTTTTTCTGTCCCCTCGGCGGGCGCGCGGCGGCGCGCTGGACCGCGGCACCGGGATGGGAGATGCCACGGCGGGATAGAATTGTCGCTCGGCCTTTCCTTCTCGCCTTGTTGCATCTAATTAATTGATCTCGTCAAATGGGGCTCGATGCGGCCGCGGCTCCATTTGATGGCGTCTGACCTCTCGCTCTCTATTTTGTTGTTGTTTGGTTCCCGTGCGCTGGCTGGCGGTGGGAAGGCACGCCAGGGCGCGCCGGGGCCCTTTCCCTTTATCAAGTTCGGTACTGCGCTAATCTGCGCCTGGCTGGCCTAGCCCCGCCTAGCCTAGCGGGACCCTCCGCGCCGCAACGACCAATAAAAAGGGGATTAAACCAAAACAGAGACGAGGCACGCGGTGCGTGCGGCGCAAGGGCGCGAGAAATTTTTCCTGCCTTAACGTGGTGTGGTATGCGGACATGAATATGCATGCGTCCGCGGTTGGTTCGCTCGCTCGCTCGCTCTTCGCGCTCCGATTGGCGGGGAATTTCTTCGCGCGGCAGCCAATGAGGGGCCGTTCGATCGGTGGCGCCCACTAGTGGCGGTACTCGATCGAGGTGGGGTGCACCGGAAGCCAAGGGAAAGTGCAGGGTGTATTTTTTTTACGGCAGCTGCTCTGGTCTTGACCGCGCCCCCCGCCGTTGTTCGGGGAGGACGCAAATGGGGGCGTTTCACGACGAAGATTGGCGATGTGTTGCGTTGCTGGATGTTTACCCTTTTCTCTCCGACTTTGCCGAAGTCATTTCTGCCCGCGCCCCGGCGCGCGGATCGCTTATCGGATGGCGCAGTTGAGCCCCCTTCCACGAGCGAAGCCCCGATTCCCCCCCCCCCTCCCCCTCGCAACCCCCGCGCCAAAAAGGATTGAGGCCGCCCGTCGGCGATGTAGCCCCCATCCCTTATCGCACGCACCTGTCGACGGCCTCCGCGCGACAGGCGGTGGAGGCGGCCGAAACTCTGGACGTGTTTTGAGCTCCAGAGTCGCTAAGCAGGACTCGAACCGAACTTGTGACCCCACCAATGGATTCCTCGTTCGGAGAGCAATCCATTGGTGTGGTCACTCGTTCGGTTCGAGTCCCATTCAGCGACTCTAGAGCTCAAACGCGCCAGTTTTGGCCGCCTCCACCGGTCTTCTGCCCCACTGTGCGACTACCTCCACGCGACGGCTTGCCCCGCCAGGTGTCCTGCAGCCCCTGCTGCGAACGATGTGTACACACTTGCACTGAGAGTACACTCCTTCCTCCCCGCGTCGATGTAGGTTGTGTTGCAGGTTGTGGAGTAACTTCTTTTCGAGGCGGTATTCTATTTTCGTTTCATTTTTTTTCTCGGTCCGGGGATGATGTGATTCAGCGGCGCATACCGGATGCAGTGTGGTGGCCGGGCCGTCGTTCTTTTGACGCGGCGCTTGGCGCTTGTTGCAGGCTGTGACGGTGCGGTCTGCAAGGCGTCGCTCTCTCTCTCTCTCTGCGCCCCGGCCCGGCCTGTGAGTGCGACAGAGACGGAGCGGGGCGGCCAGGTGCGCGTGCCGTGCCGGCGGCGTGCCGGGCGCGCGAAGGCCCGCGAGCAAGCGCCACTTTTACAGGCGCGTTCCGCGGGCCGCGTTCCGTTAAGTGCGCGCGCCGCGCGGGAATCGAAACAATTGCGGGCCGCGGCCGTGGGCTTTTAGAGCCCGGGTCTCGCTTCTCAGGACTGGGCGCTTCAACGCTTGGCTTTAGGACTGTGCAGTGCAGGCTGGATTCAAGACTGCTGCAGCTGTTCCAGGACGGGTCCGGGGGACTATGTCGGCTTACGGACTCAGTTGGCTCAAGCCCTATGGGGCCAAGAGAGGAAGGACTGGGTGAAAAGACTCCAGCTGCCTCCAGGGCTGTAGGCTCCAGGGCTCCAGGGCGCGCTTGGCCGACGTCGGCCTCCGTGTCGATGGACCATGACTGCGGCATCGCTGCCCAACCGTCCTCGAAAGCGTCTTGTCGCTGCCGAGCCCGGGGTGGTTGCCGTGCCCACCCGCCTGGAACCGTCCTGAAACCACCCTGGAATGGTCCTGGAACCGCTGCCGCAGTCAGTGTGCTCTCCAGGCTCCAGCGTTTGGGTTTCCTTTCCATCTCCAATGAAGAGCGGCGTTGAGGTCCGTCGTCGTCGTCGCGGCCCTTTGACTCCGGGGATCGGAACGCAAACAAACGCACCGCAATGAGGGTTTCGCCTTCGGGTCGTTGCCTGGTTGCTGGTGGGCTGGTGGGCGCCGCCTCGTGGGCGAGCACTTAGTCACGGTCGTGATGCCGTCATAGTTTCGCCTGGTTTCCACCACGACGGCGCTCGCCCGATGAAGCCTGCTATAGGTCGCCCGGCCTGAAGCCCTCCGGCGTCGACGTGTACGTCTCTCTGTCTCTGTCGCACTCATGGGGCTCTCCGTGAGGTTGCGAGAGAGACAGAGCGACGAACCGATCTTCTGAATGGCTCGGCAACGCGGCGATGCCGTCAGCGAGCGCCGAGCGGCCGAGAAAACAAAAGCTTAGTTCGCGCCGCGGTTCGCGTCCCTCCCCTCAGCGAAGCCGCCGCCGGGATTCGAACCCGCGTTCGAACCTCTGCTGCCCTCCCGCCCCGCGAGTGTGACGCGACGAAGGGACGCCGCGCGAAGCGTGAAGGGTTCGGTCGCGGATCGCATCGATCATCGAAGCTTGTTGTTGTTGTTTCCGCCTTTTTGTCCATTTTTTGCCGCTCTCCGTTTCCCGGATTTTGCATGGTCTGTTAGCCGTGTTGGAGCGCGCGGCGCGGCGTGACACCAAGGCCCTGCCGGCCGGGCCCAAGGCCGGTAACGAGGGACTCGAGGGACGAGGGGCGCGACGGATGACAGCGCTCTGTCTCTCTCGCACCCCCACGGGCCTACGGCACGCCCCGTGAGTGCGAGAGAGACAGAGCGACGAGGGCGCGGTGTTCGGACCCCTGTCGTAAGCCGGCCGGCCGGCGCCGTGGCGGCGAGCGGCGTCGAGTGCCGACTTGAGCGTTCCGCACGGACGGTCCCGCGCTGCGCCGCTGCGCCCTGCCGGCACGGTTAATCACCTTGATGGGCAGGATCATGAGGATCATGAGGGACCTGGCGGGCAGCCTTGTTCCAGGCGGGCCGGTGAGCCGACTCGAACCGAACGTGTGACCCCACCAATGGGTCGCTCTCCGAACGAGGAATCCATTGGTGGGGCCGCACGTTCGGTTCGAGTCCGATTGACCGACTCCGGAGCTCAAAACGCGTCTGGAGTTTTAGCCGTTTCCACCGGTCTTCTGGCCCACTGTGCGTCCGCCGGGCGGGCGGCGGGCGGCTTGGCAAGCACGCCGACGACCGCCACCCTCGCTCCGCCTCCATGACGTCCGAGACCGTCCCGCGCGTGGCCACCACGTGCGCCGTGGTTCCACGGTGCCCACGTGGACCCGGCAGTCGGTCGGGGCCCCTCTGATTATGAGCGGCGAGCAGTCCTCAGTCTTGGGAAGGGGGGGGGGCATGGGAGTCATGGAGTCGGAGCGACTGGCCGGCGCGGTGTCTTGATGCGGGCGGGGCGGGGCGGGGCGGGGCGGGGCGGGGCGCCCGGCCTGGACAATCCTTGCCGCTCCGCCGCGCGCCCCGCCGCGCCGGGCGCCGCCCACGATCCCCCGGTCTCTGGTCCCGCTGAGTGTGTGGCGGCCGTCCCGGGCCGTCCCGTCCCGCCGCGTCTTGTCCCTGGCCGGCCAGGCTCAGCCAGGCTGCTCCTAGAATCACGTCCGAAAAATAACAGTGGGCCGTAATAACGTGATTCCCGTCCATTCTCCCTTTCCGGCCACAAAATGGGCCATTACGCGCCGCCGAGCCGAGTGCCGCACTTTGGGGCACTCTCTGGCGGTCGTTGGGACTGGAAAAGATACCGAAAAGATGCGTTAATAAATTGCTAAAATTTGAACTTTGCTGTCGATGGAGTTCGCCGTCGCCTTCTCGTGCCGGCGGAGCGTGACGGCACGCATGTCTCGCAGCGGAGCGATCTCTGGAGTGTTTTCGCCGCTCTGTCTCTCTCGCACCCTTAGGACACGGCCCGCGAGTGGGAGAGAGACAGCGACGAAACCGCTCCGCGAAGCCTGCAGGCTCTGCGCGTCGCTGCGACGCTACCGGGCCGACGGCGGCCGACGGGGACGTGCAAAGTGGCGGTCTTGATGGTGCCCTGGCGGCACCGCCGCGGTGCACCGGCACCTCTGCCTGACCCAGTGCCTGCCTGCCTGCCTGCCTGGCACCGCAATTTGTCGGGAATTCGCGCTGCAGCGGCGTTGCGCCAGCCTGCAGCCGCCTTGTGAGAAATCAAATAGGAAAGGGGCGGGCGCGGGTTCGAGTACCCGCGCCGCGCGCGGTCTGTTTTCCTTCTTTATTTATGTTTTTATTCCTCTTCTCCGGACCGGCTGACGTAGCGCGGGGACCGGCAAGACAGTTACCCGGGCCGCTATACGCCCATTACAATGCTGCCGACTGGGCGGCGGGATGGCTGCGCTGCCAATGCTCGACGCACCACAGTGGGCCAGAAGACCGGTGCAGGCGGCCAAAACTCTAGCCGCGTTTCGAGCTCCAGAGTCGCTAAATGGGACTCGAACCGAACGTGTGACCCCACCAATGGATTGCTCTCCGAATGAGGAGTCCATTAGTGGGGTCACACGCTCAGTTCGAGTCCCATTTACTGACTGGAGCTCAAAACGCGTCTTATAGTTTTTGCGGCCTCCACCGGTCTTCTGGCCCACTGTGCGCGCGATGCCCGCCGTGCTGGCTTACGCCGCTTACGCACGGCGACACGGAGACACGCAGCCAGTCTTCATTTGACATTCTAGGCGCGCCTTTGAGCCTTTCACCAACCTGCCAGCGGCCGGCTGGTCTCACACTGCTGGGGCCCTTGTTCGGGCTGCCGCAAGTGCGCCAAATATGTCATGCCAAAACAACAACAACAACAACAGGGTTTTGATGAGTATTTGAACCCCGTTTGTCTTTCAGGCCCGGATGGAGGTGGAGGACTTGTTCACGGACCTCGCCGACGGCAAGAAGCTGCTCAAGCTGCTGGAGATCATCTCCGGCGAGAAGCTGGGCAAGCCCAACAACGGCAAGATGCGCGTCCACAAGGTGGAGAACGTGAACAAGTCCCTGGCGTTCCTGCACACCAAGGTAAGCCCAGCCCAGCGCGGGCATTTTCTAAAACGTTTCCTGTTGTTTCTTTTTTTTTTACGAGATTGTGCGGTACGCGGTACTTTACTATTTTGGACCGGCCGTTATCGCTAGCGCGAACGCGTGTACCTCTGTGAGCGTGTGTGTGTGTGTTGCACGGTGTTATCGGGGCAAGACAATATTGACGCAGGGGAAGGGGGGAGGGGGTGGTGTGAGAGAGTGAGAGGGAAGCGCCACATGACTGGCGTGGCGCAGCGGTGGCCAGGTATGCAGCCACACAAGCACACACATGCATATGCGCGCGCTCACACACACACTGGCACACACGCGTGCATGCGCCGGCGACACGGCACTGTAAAGGGATTTGGGGCCGAGTCGCACGCGTCTCCACACTGGTACCTGCGCGACGACGCGGCCTGCCCGGAGGCTAGAGCAGTGGTTCTCAACCTTAGGGTCGCGACCCCAAGCGGGGTCGCGAAATTTTTTTAAGGGGTCGCGGCGATGCTGGGGTCGTGTTTTAGGCCGATTTTAAGCAGCCACTGCGTCTGATCCGAGGCGGGCATTTTGCTCCCTCAACGGGCAATCGGTCTTTGGACCTTCCTTTAGCATGCCTTTGTTACGGAGTGCAATTATCAGTCTTAGTTTGGGAGCAGTATTGTCTCAAAGTTGGCCGAAACGCTCAGAAATGTCTATGAAAAATCGTGTTTTGGGCCGATTTTAAGCAGCCACTGCGTCTGATCCGAGGCGGGCATTTTGCTCCCTCAACGGGCAATCGGTCTTTGGACCTTCCTTTAGCATGCCTTTGTTACGGAGTGCAATTATCAGTCTTAGTTTGGGAGCAGTATTGTCTCAAAGTTGGCCGAAACGCTCAGAATGTCTATGAAAAATCGTGTTTTGGGCCGATTTTAAGCAGCCACTGCGTCTGATCCGAGGCGGGCATTTTGCTCCCTCAACGGGCAATTGGTCTTTGGACCTTCCTTTAGCATGCCTCTGTTACGGAGTGCGATTATCAGTCTTAGTTTGGGAGCAGTATTGTCTCAAAGTTGGCCGAAACGGTCGCAAGTGTCTTTGAAAAATCGTTGTGACTATTTTGGTCAACTTTGAGACAATACTGCTCCCAAACTAAGACTGATAATCGCACTCCGTAACAAAGGCATGCTAAAGGAAGGTCCAAAGACCAATTGCCCGTTGAGGGAGCAAAATGCCCGCCTCGGATCAGACGCAGTGGCTGCTTAAAATCGGCCCAAAACACGATTTTTCATAGACATTTCTGAGCGTTTCGGCCAACTTTGAGACAATACTGCTCTCAAACTAAGACTGATAATTGCACTCCGTAACAAAGGCATGCTAAAGGAAGGTCCAAAGACCAACTGCCCGTTGAGGGAGCAAAATGCCCGCCTCGGATCAGACGCAGTGGCTGCTTAAAATCGGCCCAAAACACGATTTTTCAAAGACACTGCTGACCGTTTCGGCCAACTTTGAGACAATACTGCTCCCAAACTAAGACTGATAATCGCACTCCGTAACAGAGGCATGCTAAAGGAAGGTCCAAAGACCAACTGCCCGTTGAGGGAGCAAAATGCCCGCCTCGGATCAGACGCTGTGGCTGCTTAAAATCAGCCCAAAACACGATTTTTCATAGACATTTCTGAGCGTTTTGGCCAACTTTGAGACAATACTGCTCCCAAACTAAGACTGATAATTGCACTCCGTAACAAAGGCATGCTAAAGGAAGGTCCAAAGACCAGTTGCCCGTTGAGGGAGCAAAATGCCCGCCTCGGATCAGACGCCGTGGCATGTTAAAGGAGGGGTCCCGTGGGGTCGCGAAATTTTTCCTGGGGGTCGCGGAAATTTTTGGCTTCAAATTTGGGGTCGCGAGCCGAGAAAGGTTGAGAACCGCTGGGCTAGAGGCCTGCCCGCCCAGGGCTGCCCTGTCGCGGCTCCGCGTACCGTCGTACCGTCTGCCCGTCTCCGAGACTGCCGCGCGGTGTCGTTTTCCTCTTTGCCCTGCCTCGCCTGCAGTCTGTCTGTCTCACTCGCACCTATGCGGAACGCCCCGTGGGTGCGAGAGGGACAGAGCGACGAAAACGACTGTCAGTCTGCTGCTGCCGTGTTGGCGGCGTGGGGGCGTTTGCCGGTTAGTTCTAGGGGCTCCCCCCGCTCCCCCGCCGGCTGGCCGGCCGGTCGGACAGCGAAGCCATACGCCGGGAGACGCGCGGGACAGGGCGCCGAGTTAAGCCCCAAGGAGGGCGGCGTGCCTTTGGCGTGCCGGCGCGGCGTGCCCCCGTTCATAGACCCTGGCTTGGCCGGGCTTCGCGCCGCCCGGCTTACGCGGCGCCCGTCTGCCCCACGCCATCATGCTGTTGTTGTTGCTGTTTGCACATTTTTCATATTTCGCTCCCGCCCGTTTTATTTATGGACGTGACACTTGTTCCTAGTCGTCGAGTCGTCGCGCGGTTAATCAAGTGGTGGGTGCGCGTTGCCGCCGTGCTGCCGCGCTGCGCGGCTGGCGGTGCGACCGCGGTGGCGGCGTGACCGCGAAGGTCATGGAGGCCCCGTGCCAGGTCGCGGCCCGCCGGCCCGCCCGCGCTCGGTCTCTCGCGCGCTCGCGGGGTGCGCCCCGTAGGGGTGCGAGAGAGACAGCGCGCTGCTCGGAACGGGCGCGTGCTGCGGCCGAGCCTCCGGAGCGGATGGCGATGGCGCGGAGGTGACGAAAGATAAGGTTTAGCACGGCGAATTTATTTTTACGACGCCACCATTTTCTATCCGTGTTTATGCGGCCGGTGAACCTCGCGCCGTCGCGGGGAGAAGTGGAACAGGGGGACGCGGAGAGTTTTTTCTCGTTTCTTTTCTTTGGCGGTTGTCGTCGCTGGCTGCTTGAGCCGTGCCGGCAGCGCGCTCGGCACCGTATTGGTCGTGTGACGCGAGTACAGCGAGTTTCTCGCCCGGAGCACGGAGCGGCGCGGAGCGGGCTGCATGGCGGGTATGGTATGGCGGGCCGGGCCGACCGGCCGGGTTAGTTGGCCAGTTTGCTGGTTACGCGAGATATGGCAACGTGGTGACGCTGCAACGCAACAAGCTCCGTGACGCTCTGCGTGCCGCGCCGCTCGACGCCGCGCCTCCTCTTTTCCAGTGCGTCCGCCAGTGCTGGTCGTATTCGTTAAGCTGCGTGGCACTTTTCCAGGAGAACCTTCCGGGTTCGCTGCGGCTGCAATGACATCCTGACTGCATTTGTCGTCCTGTTTTGGATGGGTTGGTCGGGAGGACCCTCCTTCCGCACTCCGCCGCGCTCCGACCCTATCCGACCCCTCCCGGCCCCACCCGACCCTACCCGACCCCAAGCCGAGGGGTCCGTGGGCGTCGCCCCGAACGTCGCGGTCCGCGCGCAGTGCACCTTGTACGGTTCACCGAACACCTTGTACGGCCTGCCCGCCTGGCGGCCGAAACCCTGTTGAAGCTGTGCGCTTCCTGGAGCACTTGATGGCGCAACGACGCAAGCAGACTGATTCCGAGAGTCGTTTTCGTCGCTCTGTCTCTCTCGCACTCACGGAGCTTTCCGTGTCGACGCGAGAGAGACAGAGCGACGAAAACACTGGTTCAGAATCTGCCTACTGTGCTGGCTAGAGAGCCCCCGGCAGGGCAGGCCAACCCGCCGGCCAGGGGTGCGGCCTGGTGGCCTACGTGGCAGGCGCTCCACAGTGGGCCAGAAGACCGGTGGAGGCGGCCAAAACTCTCGACGCGTTTTGAGCTCCAGAGTCGCTAAACAGGACTCAAACCGAACGTGTGACCCCACCAATGGATTCCTCGTTCGGAGAGCAATCCATTGGCGGGGTCACTCGCTCGGTTCAAGTCCCATTTAGCGACTCTCGGGCTCAAAACGCGTCGAGAGTTTTGGCCGCCTCCACCGGTCTTCTGGCCCACAGTGCGCTCTGCCGGCCGGCGGGCTCGGTCTGGGCGCGGCCGGTGGTGGGAGAGAGAGGGAGAGTGTTTGCTGGGCGGGGCACGGCGGGGCAGCTCGTGGGTGGAGTGGATGGATGGGTCGATTGTTTTGGCCGTTGGCGCGTCGGCCGCGCCGTTTTCCCACTGGCGTTCAATTTCTTTCTCGTCGCTGAGATTTGCCCGGGGCGCGATGGCGCAGGGCTTGGCCGGGCTTGGCGACGCGACGCGGAGTTTCTCGGGACCGTTCCGTTCGGCGATGATGTGAATGTGAAAGCCCTGCTGGCTGCCTGGCTGGCTGCCTGCCTGCCTGCCTGGCGGCCTGGCGGCCCGCCCGTGCGTCCGAGTTGCATCGGCAGGAAATGCGCGTCCAGGGAAAAGAAAGTCCAATCTGCGGTCGGTCACTTGTCCAGTCATTATCGAAGGATTTCTTCCGCGTACCTGCCAAAAAAACGACAGAGTGGACAAACTCACGGCAAAAGTGCGCGGTAAACCTCGAGAAGTACTTGCGAGCGTTTCGTCTCTGGAAAGGAGAATTTGAGTCGAACAGCCGGCGGTCTCTGCTTCTGACAGTGCACCGACGGAGAGGGAGGGAAAGAGAGAACACTAGCTGCAGAGTCTTCTCGCCGCTGCCTTCCTGACCACAAGTGTGGTGGGCACTGGTGCGGTTTGGCACATACGAGCCGCGGGAGCGCCGAGCCGAGCGCCGAGCGGCGTCCTGAGAGTCGTACCTGTTCGGCTGCCGCGCCGCCTCCCTGTGCCAAGTGGCGTTAGGTATGTTCCGAGAGAAAGAGAAACGAAGCGAAGCGCGGCGCGCCGCGAGTGTTGATTTGGTTTTCGCGTTACTTTCCGTTTTCGGGTCGATCCGCCGCTGCCCGTCTCGCACTGCCAACGCCGCGGCGTCGTAAGTTTACCACTGCCGACGGACACGCCGCGTAGTTTTTGAAAAGTTTGACCGTCTGAGCTATGTATGTTTTTAGACTCCGGGGGTTCCCGATTTTTTTGTCATGTCCTTAACTCGACTTTTTCTTTTTGCGACAGCAAGTCAAGTCGGTTGCCCGGCC